GTAGGAGAGAGCATTAACACAACAGAAAGCTTGGAAAATAAATGTTGTCCTTCCAAAATCAGCTATGAACTGAAGTGTTATACCCCATTTAAAGACAGTAAGTATAGCTGTAAATTGTTGCTTCTTAGCCAAATGCTTTTTCTGGTCAGACGATACGATTTTCACTTCTGTTTCTTCTACTTTGATAAGAGTGGTGACTTGAAAAACTAAGTGAAAACTTGCATTTATTTCTGCCTGTAATTTTAACACTGAAAACAACTCGTCGATACAAAATGTCGTATTAGCTTGTTAACCTCAGCGCAAGCAAAAAATGTATGATGCAATATGACTAAGTATAGTTGCGTACATTAGTACAAAGAATGTAGTGGAGGCTTTACTTGTGGGAAGGGAGGTTTAATCTAAGAAAGTAGTGACTCTGTGAAAGTGCAGTGAAGAGAAGCTGAACTTAATGATTGAGGAGGAGGCTAAATGGTGATCTAATAGATACTGAAAAGTATTTGAAGGGTAGTTACGAAGATGACGGAGCCAAACTTTTTTTTGGTAATGACAAGCAATGTGAAGGGGAATGGCTAATTATAAATGCTTGGGAGATTCAGGGAAGGCATGGGCGGGGGGAGGGGGAAGGAGCGTAGTACGACTCCAGACCAAGTCATCAGAGGTTGTGACGCCTCCGTCCTTGGAGGTGTTCAGGACTTGGCTAAAAAAAGACATGGTTCACTGTACCTAGTGTACATGGTAGTCCTGCTTTAGGCAGGAGGTTGGACTACCTGACCTGCAGAGGTCCCTTACAACCAAAATTTGTATGACTGTGTATGTCCTTAAATTTTAGCCTTAGCATTATTTTCTTTCTTTTTCTTTTATTCTTTGCGTATAGGCTTATTGTGGATTAATTTTCTATTTCCCATATGGAAGAATGCCACAATCTGTTGTTACACACGCATCTTTGTACATAATTCTGTGATAAATTCTGCTTTTCTAAAAGGGTTAAATCAAATCTTATTTTTGTCATAATCTTTTTATGTTTATACAGCTTTATAGAAACAGCTGTTGCTTTTCACTGTGAAGATCTTCCAACAAACTGAAAGGTGCAGAAAGTTAGACGCTTTTATTAGACACACAATCTCATGGCTTTTTGTCATGTACAATGTCAGAACATTAGAATGATTTGGGGAGATTTGTCATAGACTTAAATAGGAACAGAACCAAGCACTAAGTATGTTACTTTGTTTTTTTTCCACCACAGCAATTCCTATTACACTGTATCTTATTTCACGAACAGTTGAGCCTTCTCAGACAAAGCTGATCTTGTCTAACATGGAAGGTCGTAGAAATAAGCCCTGATGGTCTAGGTCTTCAGCTGGTGCAATTCAGTGTACCTCCATGGGCTTCAGAGATGATAGCCAATTTTTAGGAAGAACTGGCTTAATATGAACATGAAACCCAAAGGGAATATTTGTAACCTGACATCCATTATTCACTTTCCACTTTTTTGCACTCGCTCAGAAGCAAGGCAAGATCAGGACCAAACTTTAGAATCTGTCTTATTACCATACTTCCAAACCACATTTCAAAGCTAGAGCAACCGTTGTTATTCCGTTAGTTTTGGTGGAAGCAAGTTCCATTCAGCGTGAGGCTATCAGCCTGTCTGTTAGGGGCATACTGTAGAAATAAAATGTTTTAATAACATTTAGTACGCAATTAGGCTTCCATATTACATATGAAAGACACTTCTGTAGTGAGAAGAAAAGCTGTACAGTGAAAACTGCAGCTCTTTCGCTCATTTTAGGACATACACTCAAGCAAATGCTAAAATTAAATATGCTTATTCAGCTGCAACTGCTTGATTTCTTATTTCAGTTAGGCTTTTATTGTTTGGAAGTAAACATCAAGGGCCAACTGTTTTACCAAATTATCTGTTCATAGATTAATTAGCTACTTTAATGCTCCAGGATGTACAACATATATCCAGGGAAAGCACACACACTTACTGCCTTGGGAGCACATGCCATTTGCTTTGTAGCAACCTGTTGACAAAATAGAAGCTCTTAACAGACATCAGACTTGTGGCATCTGGGTTTCCATAAAATGGTCTTAGGCTACATGCTAAAATGGTTCTTGCTCTGGGAGTTTTGTCTATTGGCTTTAGTAGCAATAAAATGAGGCTTTAAGAGAATGCTGCAAAAGTTACAAACTGAAATAGACAAACAGCGTTAACTTGCGTGATTTTTGTCTCCTTTTTTTAAGATTCTTTTAAAGGACTCTAATTTTCCTACCGTGGGCTTACTTGAACACCAGTTGCTTCTGAAACTAATCAAATGCATGGACTGTTTGAACTCAGGTCCAATTTAAGACCTGATCTTTCTCATCTGAGCTCATTTCTAACGTGCTTTATTCCGTTGTGTTGCTGGCTGAAATACATGCATGTCTGTCTTGCAGGCTAATCTCTGACATCTGTACCTCAGTGTATACCTCAGGATCATTCATAGCTAACACAAAGTTCTACTGATTCTACAGATTTGCAGCTGACATTTCGGTTGTTTGTGCTTGGAGCAGGAGGATTTTTTATTTTGGGGTGTCTACCATTTTGTTGCTGTGCCTGTTTGCAGAGGAGGTAAGAATTGGCGTATGATCAGATCAAATTCTTGATGCACTGTTTCTAAACCTAGAAAATTTGGACAATTGATGTATTTAAAAATCAGTGAGGGGAGAAAAGATTAGAAAAAAGGCAAGAAAGTAACGTGCAAAGATCAAAAATGAGGGGTTTTGGAGGTTGTTTTTGTTGGGGTTTTTTTTGAAGCTACGTAAGATATAGAGGCAATATGTCTTGAGTAAAGATAGATGTGTGTTAATACCTCAGTAGCCATTCTAAAGACTCAGCTATAAGGAACTTGAACGTGATCTTGCCACTGTCTGCTTGGAAAGTCATATGTAAAACTTGAAGGCAGACTGGCTCCAGGTTAGCAAAGAAGTCTGCACGTTAACCTCCGAGTGGGGCTTGAACTGTGGTGCCCAGGCTTGAGTTCAGCTTTGAGACGTGGCTCCTATCCTGGACAAATAATGCTGAGGTGTGGAAGACCAGGATTTTTGTTCCTTTGCCTCTGCAGTTTTCTTCCACCCACTCTCCACCCTTGCTTCCCACCAAAGACTAAGTCTTCTTCCATATCTTTCTGTACATCTGCGTGTGTTAAAGCACTTGATCTCCATTTCTTCCCTCTTTGACAGTAAGGTGTTACCAATAACTACTAGTCGTGAGCAGATGAGACTGAGATCAAATGCAGATACAAGGCAATCTGTAACACTGCATGCTTCATACCGTATATACCCTTTGCTACAGCAGAGCACACGGCCTATCCTATTCTATCCAGAATAGGTTTTTAGGATACAGTGACCTGAGTGCAAATAAAACCCAGAATATCAGTAGAGAAGAAAAGGAACAATTTGGGGAAAAGGTCATCTCACTTTGCGACTTAGGTTAAACAGAAACGAATGAGAAAACTTCCTGCCACTTGCCTTATCTCTCAAAATCACAGAGAGAAGGGAGATAAAATCTGTTCCTTCAGCACTGCTTTGGAAGGTACTTCTAGAAAAGCACATTTCTTATGGTAAACAATTCTCACTACTGCACAGGAAATGTTGTGTGCAACCAGGAATTACCTGAAAGCTAATAGGGAACAAACGAATGAGAAAAAGCAGTGCGTAAAGAAGAACAAGTGGAAATGTGTTTCTCTGTGGGATATACCTGGAATTATTCACTAAGACATAGCACTGAACAATAAAGAAGTAGGCCTGAAAAGAGTGAGAGAGAGGGGCTAGGAGCATGTTGAGAAAAGTGAATTAATTATTTGTAATGCTGCTAGTGTGCAGTGAGTTTTTGATGTGTGAGGCACATTAAAGCCTGTGAATGCAATGAAAGCAGTTTAGCGTTTGACATTACTAAGAGTTTGAGCTTGTGTGTATGCTCTTATGATAATGGGGAAAATGTAAGGTCCACAATATCAAAATCATTAAACTAAGATGGAATATATTACATAATTGTGCTTTATTTTTCTAAGGTGATAGTTCATATTGACTGACCGATGCTATAACTTGGTTAAAATGACAGATTTTTTTTTTCCTGAAGGTTTTGCTTTTCCCCAAGTGTTCAACTTTTGCTTTACCAAGATATTAGCTGTGATCATGTACATGTGCATGCACACTCTCCGTACACTTTACTAATGTGGCTGCTTAGCAGATGGCCATTTGCTATGGAGTTCCACACTTAGACAAAACCTGCTGTGCAAATCTCCACATTGCATCTTACACTGCGCTCAGCAGCTGATGTTCAGCATACAGATAGCCTCACTGAGTCATCAGTGACTCTGAAAACAGAAGGCAAAGAATTAGCATGAAATTATCATAAATTTTCTGGAAAATGAATTGATATATATTCATTTTGACATAATTTGTATTAATGTTCAAATGATTGTGTTTGTGTTTTTTTTCATAGCCAGTGAAACCAGGAATATTGCTATTCTGCTATGACTTGTTTTTTGCTGTGTTTTTTTTGTTTTGTTTTGTTTTTTCAGTGATTAACCAGATGCTAAATGGTTTTAATTTCCAGCATCATATATTTGTGTTCTAGGAAAGAAGCAATACTATACCATAGTAACTTCAATTGACTTTTACCCATTCTAGAGACTGTTGATAGAGGATATGGCTTTAAAAAGCATTCCTTTATTGAGCCCAAGACCTTCTATCTGGGAGGAAATTCTGTTGCTTTCATTGGTAATAGGGTGCATATATATGGTAACATTGTATGTGTTGTAGTAACATTGATGTCAAAACTGTACTGTGCAAAGAACATTCCCAAAAGTTAGAATTATCAAAAAATGAGACAGTTTCTGCTGATGAAATTTGGGACAACTGATGAGTTGAACTGTGCTTCTAGAACAAATTCCAAAATTTTCCATAATAATCTGTAAAGAACCACCCCAAAGCTGGGCTACTAGCCATGGAAGGGCTTTGCAGGCATTTGTGCCGTGTAGCTAGAGGTGGGTGACTATCTACTTGAGATGCCCAGGACTAAGATAATGAAGGTAATTCCATAATTTGGCCAAACTGTAAGGATTACTGTCATTATTTGCTGTTGGCTACTTTCAGCATTTAGCTAGTTGCAGTTAAGAGCACCTATATAAGAGCTCCTGCCTGGAAGTCCTGTAAAACTGACAGAGGGAGCTGTTAACTTCCTTTCCGCAGGTTGAGTTACAGCAGCTCAACCTTAGTCTGAGTTTCCTCCTCTTCCTTAGGAAGAGTTTCCTTTTGCCACTCTTTAATCAGTACTAGTAATTGCCAAACTTAGTGAGGCTTTGTTACTTTACTTCCTCCCAAGTGAACTCTCTTTTGCCTTCTCTCCATAGAATTTTTCATGCAGGAAGCAGAATCTGCATGTATTAATTCTATCCATTCCCTGTGAATCACCAGCTCCTCTTGTGTGCTGTCACCATAGCGTGTCTCTTCTTGAGCTCTGTTGTCCTTTGAATTTATGTCCATCACTATGCTATCTTACCTTCCTTCTCTCACTGTTTTGTCAGTGTCTTTTCTTCATTAACCAGCCCATGCCAGGATAAGTAGGAAAACATAGAGGTATACATAACTAGTGCTATATTTGCATAGTATTATGTACATTTTAAAATAGAATATAAACCAGAAAAGCCTTCATTTCATTCTGCTAAGTTTCTAGTACAGGGGTGAGAAGCAGGCCACAGATTTTGGTTGACTAGCTCCTAGGGAATTTTAAGGTCACAGTTGTATTGCTAAGAATCACAGACTCCACTGAAAATCATGAAGGAAATGTAAGAGATGGGAAAAGCTCATCCAAATCCTGTGATGGCCTCTGAAATCAACTGTAGCTTTGCCCTTTCCTTCACTGGAGCTAGGATTTCATGGTTAAAGTGTGGACGAAAATTCTTTCTTTGGAAATCAATCAATTTCAGCTGTTGTTTTTAATATATTGCAGTCAATGCGTCAATCCTTTACGAAGTGCAAGTAAAGAAGTAGAACAAATCGTGCAGAAGAAAAGAGCACGTAGTGAAAATATTCATGGGTTTTTATCGAATTTACTTAAGAAAAACTCCAAGGACCATAAGAGCAAGAAAAAAGGTAAACTAAACTGTTCTTGGAGTATTCTTTTGTCCTTTCAGTTTAGTATTGTTGTTTTACCATCAATTCTATATAAAGTACTAAACATATACAGTACTAAATACTACAGCCAGTATTATTTTGCAGAAATGTAAACTAGTTCCTAAAACTAGTTAGACCCATGTTTAGTGTTTTTTTTTTCTTTTTGGTGTAGAGAAACATGTAGCTGATCTTGAAGACCTCAAGCAGGACAAGGACACCAGGATTACCTGAATATGCGCTAGAAAATGAGATGTTTTTCCTAGTGTCAAACAAATATAACATTGTGACCCTTTGATAGTGCTGTTGATTTTTACACTAAGAAGTTTGTCATTCTTAGTTCTTCATGCTCATACCATATCTTCTGTAAATAACTAGTAGTGCTAAAAGGCAGAAATTGACTGTGGCAGTTTCTGAATGCTGAAGCCAGTCTTCTGTTATTAATATAGCATCCCTGTGAAGGGCACATAAGGATACCAGTTAAGTGACTGTCCTAGTTAGTAGATTGGTCTTAGAATTTTGTTTGGATTAAGAGAAGGTAGTTGTCACTCATTAAATCAGTAGCGAGTGGCAAGCTTACTTTGCTTCAGTATTGGATGGCTGATGGTCATTACAGAGAAAGAGTTGTGCTCTGGAGAAAGTTAGGCTTTCATATGGTGCTTCAAGATTTTGAAAGGTAATAAATTCCTTTTATTTACATGTCATTGATAGCACAACTGCTTTCAATATTGCATAACATTCTGACAAAGGGAGACATGCTGATGAAACAACTGTATATAACAGTAAGCGATCAATGCATCTGCAGTAACAGTGGCAGCACCAGACAAAAATAAGCATAAGCAAGATATATGCACTGTAAGAGGGGAAGGGAGGACAATAAGACACAGCAAGTCTTATGTTACCCCTACTGGGGTAATAGTCAGGAGCACAATGCATTGAGTAAGCCCTGCACCTGTTCCATTTAGCAGCCTCATTGTAAGGGTGTTCTGAAAAGTTAAAATTTTTGCATTTTGATTGCAGAAGTCAAAAAACTCTCATTTTAAACCTTAAGTTCTATACTAATTTGACAGTTCATTGAATCGATAGCTGTCCAGTATTGGTATTGCATAATAACTGTTGGCTGTGCCAAAAATGTCATACTGTCTTTTTCATTATTATTGAGAGTCAGGGTTGTCACCTTAAGGTCATATTGCTGATATTCACAGGCCTGAGAATAACGGTATCTCTATTGACTTCATCACATAAAAGCAGATGTTTTGATCAGCTGCTTGCTTCCACTAGTCAATGTTCAGCGAATTAAAAGTTCAACTACTCTTATTCTTGTATAATCTATTTGATTATGATTTTTATCTCTTTGGTTTTGATCTCCTCGACCCCAGTGAACTACAGAAAAATTTCAGTGTGGGGTTACTCCAGACCTACCTGGAAGATATGTTTTCCAAAGTGCCTAAACTGCTGGTATTTATCTTGTGTACCAAGCTGCATGTTTCTGAGCCAAACTCAGTTTCCCTTTGAAGAACTGAATTAGGGACCAGGTCAGCTGGGAAAAGGCTAAGCATCCCTACAAGGCCCCCAGGGCCCTCAGAGCCTTTGTGGTTAGTGACAGAAGCTGCCTTCCACTGCATGCTGTTTCCCAGCCTAATTTGTGGGCCAAGCCAGCAGAACAGACCTTCTACCTTCTGGTCCCAGAGAGAGACCTTCAGTACTAACATCAGGAACCACAAGATGGTGCTGCAGGAAAACATTTTTCCCTCAGTGGATTTGGTTTCTGGAGAACTTTATTGATTTATACGTTCTACAGTGTGGTTCATCAAGTCATAAGAAGGCAGATACTGCACAACAGAGCAATGGTAATTCTGTGTAAAAAAAAAAAAAAAAAAACAACATAATGCAGCATATGATGACAAGGCTTTAGAAGACTTACAAGATGCACAGACCGTTGCGTGTGGCTTTAGGTCTGCTCTCTTCTGTTGAAATGATACAGAATGAAATAAAAGACCTCTCTCCTTATCTTCACAAAGATTAAATACATACAAAGCAAAGCAGTCTGCCTCATTGTAACTGCATCCAGTCTTGGACACAGCCACCTTAGAGATGAGAGCTATGAGAGGGCTTGAGCACTGATACATCTCTTTCATCATGTCACCCAGAGCCTGCACCAGGTCTGATGGCAGAAGGTGGGTCTCACTTTCTGTTCCCTTTGAAATCCGCACATGTAACCACATTCTGTAATGTAAGGAGAGAGAACTGAGAAGATTTTTGAAAGCTTTAAAGTAACGTGAAATGGCTGCATTACACCACAGGCAACTGTTGCAATATCTGGTACTTTTTTCTCTGTCTTTCAAAAAGCTTTCAAAGTCAGGAAAATTGAACTTAAAAATAAATACAATGGAAGGAAACGCAAGCTTCTCAGAGTTACGGTGGGAGAACACCTTTCAACCCTAAAGATCAAAAATCCAAAGCTAAATGCAAATTTGTATTTAAGCAAAATTCCTTGCGACTTAGGAACTCATCTCATATATTTTAAAGGCTTGATGTTCAGTTCTGAAACACTTTTTATCTAGCTGAGTTTCATGTAAGGCCAGGTAGAGTAGGTAAAGCAGGAGAATGTACTTCACTGCTCAATGAATATTTTTTCTAGCTTGTCTCTGCATAAGGAATGCAAATTTGAAATGCTATGGGTTTTTTGATTCTTTGCCAGCCTAGGCTTGGATGCACAGCTGAAATGAAGTGAGAAGGTCTCCCTGGAAAAGTTTTTCCTTTTCTTCTCTACAGTCCCAGTGGAGTGAGTGGCTGTGTCCAACTCAGTTTTGCTCCTAATTTTTCTGTCCCAAAACTTTTTTTCTTCTCACAAAATATTGGAAAAATAAAAAATGGTTTCAGCCAGATGAAAGGAAAAGAACTGTCCACAGTTGTGCTGTTCTTATTTTCTAAGTTTCAGTGTACTACTTCCGACTTCTTTCACAAAGGGCACGTTTCTTATTGCCCTGCTTCATCAGAACATCCACTGGCCTATGTATTTCTGCCATCCAAACTTGACAAATGATGCGTGTGTGTGTTCACCTATGTGCAGGTAAGAGGAATAGAGCTTCTTTTTTTTTTTTTTCAACAGTTTTTTTCTCTGTAGGATTAGCCATCAACACTATCCTGGTAGCTTTACTGTCCCTGTTGCAGCAGGGCATTGTTTTGGCAATGTTACCTGATAATCAGGCAATGCACAGAAGATGACGGTAAATTCTACAAAGAGCTGCCCTCTAAAGGAAAGCATGGCTATGAATTTTATAGAGTCCTTTTGCATCCTATCTCCCTAGTTTCCAAGTATCTGATTTTCAGTCTATAAGGCTAGAGCTGTTCAATGTTCTACCTACTGTTGATTGTCAGCTGGGCTGAAGTGAAATGAATAAAACAATTTTCCTTTAGAAAAGCATTTTTTTCTGATGCATCTGCCTGGCCTCCCATTTAGCACTGCACCCTTGCCTAGACTCCTGTTACGATTTTTACTGACTCTCTGAGCTGTTAGCATTTACTTATTCACGGTGCTCAATCTAGCACTAACACGCAAGATCCAAAAGTGGGATGAAAAAACTAAGCCAACTAAAAGGACAGGTGACAGCAGTGCACTGGACCCTAAGCACAGGATAGGAGATCTGGGGAGGCAATACACAGATACAAAATGATCTGGTGTGCGTTTCTTAACTGAGAAGTCCTACTTCGGTGAAATGCCTTTCAATAATGTTGTTACCTGCCTGGTGCAATTTCTTAATTAAATACGGCCTTATGAATTGCAATAGCTAAATATATGAAAGAATGGTGGTTAGAAGTGTGCTGATAAATGGAGGGAGGTGAGTGAAGGCCTTTTCGTACAAGAAGTGCTGCTAGGCAAGGATACGACTCAAGCTGAGGATCCAGTTGGACTAGCAACCATTGCAATAACTAGGGTGCTCAATCTTCTTTGCCTTATCCTTACAGAAAATAGTACCATTGCCCTCACCTCTATCAGGAGAGGTGAGGAGGGATTTTTGCCTGTTGTCTCAAGGAGTCAATATCTTGGCAATGTCTTTCCCCATCATTTTCAGGGAAAGGTAAGGAAAAGTTTATTAGCGTTCCTAAGACCAGGTACCCATAGGTAGCTGATATTTCAGGCTAGAAGACATTTTTGGAATGTATAATGATTTCTTTCTAAGCTCTCATAAAAATTGGGTTAGCCAGTCCCACGCTAAGATTTAAACCTTTTAAGAATTCAGTCTTCCCAAATACCCAGCTGTCGGGGATGCTCCCAGCTTCCCCCCCCACCCCCATCTGGTGCCAGTTACAAGCAGTCTGTGTTCCTGTGCCTCACACTCCAAAGCGGAGGATGTCAAGACTTTGAGATAAGGCCTGCTTGGGTGTCAGGACCTTGAGAAACAAAGCCTCCTCTTACTGCTGGGGCGGTGTTAATTATTGTGGTCTGGAATTATCTCCTCCTCTTCAGGACCTTGAGAGACAACACCTGCTTTCACTGCTGGGGCAGTGTTAATCATTGTGGACTGGAATTAACTCCTTCTTACCTGAGCTATGAGATCTCTCCTTGGGACCACCACTGCAAGAATAAAGCAATCATTTCCAGTCACTCAGACTCCTCTCTTCAGTGCTGAAGAGTGCTCAAGGCAGCAGACCTGCTGTTAGGAGTGTTTGGCCACTGCGCCCCCCCCTCCCCCCGCCGTGGGTGCGATCGATCGTCATAAGGAAGGAGGAGAGTTGAACCCTGCAGCAGCGAAAAGCTAAGGACTGGGACTGCGTGAAGAGACTGGTCTAGTGACTCCACCTCCACTTTCCCCTGAAGGTATAAATAGGTTGCCCCTGGAGGCCATCTTTGGCTCTTTGTGGGTGACAAGGAGTCTGCCAACTTGCAGATTTTGGGACTGAGTTGCCCTCCCGCAGTTACCTCCCTGGGATTGAGTGTCCGTTGGCTGCTGAGGCAACAGTGGGTAAGATCAACCAGAACTGGCTTGCATCGTTGGTTCATTTGGGTAGTTACAATTATTACAAATTAGCTAGCTTTGTCTGTTTATTAAGTAGTTACTGTTAGCATAACTTTTAGTGTAACTAGAAAGTAAATATTCTAGTTGAACTAAGTTTCTCTTAATAAGAATTGTTACTTTGTACCGTTGTAACTTATGTAGTAAATTTTGATCTTTGCAACAAGTTGTGGAGTCAGGTAGTAAATCCCCTTCTCCGCCTTCTCCCCTCCCTCGCGCCACACAAAACCCACACAGTCCGGGACCCCAGGACTGTAAGGTAGGTTGGTGTCCCGTGACACCAGCTGATAGCTTTAAGAAATGAGAGGCCTCGGTTTGAGGAGAGGGAGCTCTCATCAGAGATGGTTTGTATGAACAACTGTCGGAAGCAAGGAAATCTGAGAGCTTTGTGAAAAGCAGTTATTGGGTTGGTGTTGACCAGTTATTTTGATAATGCAGTAAGTGACTGAGATCTAGCTTTTAAACAGTGAGCAAGTGTGGTAAACTACTGTTTTGGTCCCCTTCATCCAGCACCTTTCTAGAATGCTATAAAATGACTGCAGCTGAACTGTGAAGCTTCTGGGGTGGGGCATATTAGCTAAAGACTAGGCTGTGGAGTCAGAAAGGAAGAGAAGGAAGATAACAGGGAAAATGATCTTAAGAAAAATGACCTTGAATGTTTTACCAGAATGAGGCAGAATCTCATTCCTGTTTGGCTTTTGCAATTTATTTTTGTTAGTATGGTCACATATAAAAGGCTATCACGTCAACTGCTATAAGCATTAATCTTATTTTTTCATCATCAATAGGCTGATTTTCAAAAAAAAAAAAAAAAAAGCAGAACTACAATTAATTGTAACTCATCACTGCAGCTAGTTAGGAAACAAAAGGTTAACAGCAAATTCTGTTTTAGTGGTTAAAAATCTACTATAGCAGCATTTGCTCAAATGGTTGTTTTACACATGCAGTGGCGTCATTCAGTTTAAATCCTGCTGTGTTTCTTTGCCAACAACTGCTAGTGAACATTTGCCCACCTTCCCTGCTGCTGAGCAGTATCAGGATTAGATGCAGGGAGGCGAGCAGGCTTACAACTTCATCTGTTGGCACCACAGGAATGCAGGAGCAGAACAGCATGGCAGTAGGGAAAACTTTCAAAATCATCAATTTTAAGGTCTTACCTCGAAATGGCTATTTCTTGGCTGGGGGGAGGGGTATCTTTCCCCAACTGCAAAAAAAGCAGGAACAATGAAATCTTCCTCAAGTAAAGACATGATGGGCATTTATTTGTTATCTACCCTAGCAGGTGGGTGCATGTTTGTAAAACTGTACCGGGAAGTAGATTTTGACATGGGAGGAATGCCTCTCAAGAAAACACTGGCCTTATCCATTTGTCTTGGGAATAAAAATTTAGGGAGCTCTAATACATCCTGGCATTTTTATGATGGATAGCTTCCAGCAACAGGCATTTTCTTTGCCTCATCAAAGGAAGCCACTTTTCCCTCAGTACTTCACAAAAGTCTCTATGAATGACATGGTTAGAAAGAATCTTGTTTTGAGCAAAGTGACTGCTAGAGACAGAGCTGAGTTTTCTGAGCATTTATATTAGCTGTTGCCTGCACTCAAGAACAGCTGAAATTTGCTTTCTGAACTCCATGTATTTGTTACCTGCAAAGTGAAGCCCCTGAATGTAGCTCTTTGTCAACCACTTGTCTGTACTTATGGGGCAGAGGAGAAGGAAG